AGGGAAATGACTTGTGTAAGGCGTAGGTTTGATCACATCTGCAGAGTGCTTTCCTTTATGTCTGGCTTCAAGACTGTAGACATAGGAAAGCGAGCACTGAGCACAATGTGAAAAGAGGAACACTGGTTCACTGAAGATGAGCAGTGGGGGGTGGTATTCTAGAGAAAACATTGAGGTAGAGTTTCTTGGCAGTTGAATGTTTTCAGGGAACACATTTGAAAAGGCAGGAGGAGTATATGATATACCATATTTCCTTGACAAGACACATCTTTGGTTTTTGGGGAACAAGAAGAAGTGCATTAAATGCACACATCATAGTAGGCCTGTCTCTATTTCAGAATGCTAAAATGAGAGTGGTTGTGTCGTGGAGTTGAGAAATATCGGTGAAATATCAGGCAGCCCTCAGGAAACGTGGGTGGCCACAGAAGTAGGTTCAGGGGCTGAAGTTCAGCCAAAACACTCCTAAAATCTCTTGCCGCCACTTGGCAGAGATGCAGCTCCTACCAGCAGTGCTCAGTGTTTGTGGATTCTGACTTTAAAGGAGGTTGTCAGTTTATTAAGCCAGGGACTAGAAAGACAATGAAGAAGCATGTGATAAAGGGTTTGAGGCCTCTGGGGAGGAGCAGGAGGGAACCAAAGGTTTATTGGATGGATTACAAGGCAGAACTGGGAACAGAAAGCAGAGACTACTAAATAGAGGTTACAGTTAGTCAGTCAGATACAGCAAGAGAGAACCATGAGCAGGAAGAAAATGGGTGTGAAGAACTGTGTATTGTGGCCAAGATTAGGAGACAAGACCTTGGGCTGTATGGGGGCTGTTATTTTAGGTCATTCATCTGTGGAACCCTTTTGCACAAATGTCTTAAAGGCTGTTTCAGCACCTTGTGGAGCCAAGGAAAATGCAGATAGGAAGGAAACAGAGAGAGAAGTGAGAGATAGGACTTTGCCATATTCATTCATTCATTCATTCATTCATTCATTCATTGTCTAGCCATTGTACTTGGCATTGGGGATGTGTGACTTAAAACTATTCTGTCTACATTTATAATACTTTGATTTGGTTCAAGAATGGTTGAGTAGGAGATCATTTGTATAAGAAGAGGTTATAACATTTCATAAGTAGAGAAGCCTAAGTAAAACTTAGGAAATGGGTGGTTTCTAGTGTTGGCTTCAAGGGAGGCAGAGGGGGGCTGACGGCAAGATGATTCATGTAACTGGTCAGCCTCAGAGCTGTACTCAGGTGGCCCCAGAGGGAGGGGGAGAGAAGGTAGCACCTTATCATAAAAATTGTTTTCTGATTTTGGAGAGGAATTCACCCAAAAGGATATTTCTAGAGGAAATTCAGGTCTTTCTCTGACACTGTCTCAGATCTTTGGATTGTGTACGTTTGAAACCCCGAGGATGAACCAGTGACAAAAGCCCAAGAACCCAGAATTAGTCTTTAGACACCAAAAAATGGATATAGACCCAAACTGAGTGAAGCAGTCATTTAAAAACAGTTAGTTTATAGAGAAAACAGCTTTCTGCCTGGAGAGTATGTGCCTTAAATTTTACTTGAAATGTAAAAAAAAAAAAATGTCAATATAGGTACTTCATATGTATTAAATATTTATCTTAATTATATTTTAGCCCTGGCCAGTTTGGCTCAGCAGTTGAGCGTCGACCTGCGGACCAGAAAGTCCCGGGTTCAGTTCCTGCTAGGGGCACGTACCACAAAAAATAAAAATAAAATAAAATAACTGGCTTTTCCAAAACAACCACTCTTCAAAAAAAAAAAAATTATATTTTAATAAAATAATAATCTATGGTTTGGGCCTACACATATCTAACAGACCCCAGGCCCATTTAGATCTTACTTCCCAAAGTGGGAGGCATTGTTGCATGTCTTCAAATTCAGCATTAGGCTTACATTCTTTTTTTTAAAGAGGTTTTTACTGATATTTTTTATTTATTTATGTTTTTAGAGAGGGAGAGGGAGAGAGAGAAACATGGACAGACTGCCTCCTGCATGCTCCCTCCTGGGGAGCCTGCAACCCGGGGGTGTGTCCTGACCAGGAATCAAAGCAGCAACATTTTGGTGCACTGGACGATGCCCAACCCACTGAGCCATACCGGCCAGGGCTAGGCTTACATTCTTGGGTGCATAATCTCATCTATACACATCCATGTATATATAGTCATATGAACTGCTAATGAAAGCTATTTTAATATTCTTTAATGAAAATATATAATTTATATACTTTTAAAAACATTCAGCATTAGGAAATTGTAACAAATGTCCTGCCTAACCAGTGATGCAACTAAGAGATCCTGTTGCACCCACCAGCAGTTTGGCTCCCAGGCGTTGTTGCCAGGATTAACAGGTAGCTTACCTGTGACCTTCATTCTTTCACTTTATACACTCTAGCTAACTGGCAGCCTTCCTTGCCTCCCGCTCCCAATTCTCCTGCTCTTCCCGTTCTGTCCCCAGTCCCACCTTCCAAATAGGAAGTCAGGATTTGATAAACTACATTATTTACATTTATGTGCTGATTGATTACACTGCTGGGTAAATGGATTTCAGCCAATATACATTTTTGAGTTTTTAATCTCTGACTGCAGAAAGAGCGCATGTGTTCTCACTGGCAGAGCTCGGATTTAGCACAGGTGGAGTGAAGGCTGGGAGTTCTCTGTGGAGCTCTTCAGTTGCCCTTGAAATTGTGGCAGGTTGCAATGAAGGGGACTGGCCTGGCCGATGACTCACTTCTGTACAGTAAAGGAGACTGTGTGTCTTCTCCTGGCTTTAAACACTGGAACACTTTCTGGGGTGAGCCTGCAAAGGAGGTGAAAGTAGCCTTAGTGGGTACAATGGGAGGGACCCCAAGGCCTCCCTCTCCTGATCACAGGCTCTCCTGGGGCCAGTTTGGAAAGGACATCACCACTAGTTCGCCTGCTCAGTGCCTCTTCCTGGCCCATTGTGTAGTATGCTCTTTCCCTTCCCTTCCTGTGAACAGGATCTTCATCTTAAACCCATCCCCCCACTAATTAGTGTTTATGCTTTCTCTTCTCTCTTTCTGAGCACACTTTTCCTTTTCCCAGGGCTGGTAGTGCCTGGCCAGAATGCCCGTTCCCCTCATCCAGAAGAAACAGTGACATTGCTGTGACCTCTGGCATGGCAGCCTCATGCCACTGGGTCATCTTGGGCCTTCAGCCAGCGAGTTATCAGGATTTCAGAGCAAAGAGCAATAAGCACATAGGACAGCTGCTAAGGGCCTTTGAGGAGTGTGGGTAGGGGTACAATGAGGAGTAAGTGATGGACATGGGGCCCTGTTCATTGAGGAGAAAGATACAAGGTCTGCCTCTTAGTTTGCCAGCACATGTGTGTTCAAGATGAAAATTAAACTGCAAATGATACTGGATAAACTCCTAACAATAATGGTGATTACCATTGTTGAAGCAATAAAGCTGGAAAAAAGGCAAAAAAATTGGTTTAACAGTGCATAAAGAATACCAATGTCAGTTACTTATATGAACTGTTTATTATTTAGCCTAATCACTATCATTGTAGCAATCATGCATGCCATTAAATGCATCGGATTTATTTGTGTGAATTTCATTTGATTGCAGTGTTAGATTTTGTTTTTTTGTCAGCTGAGTCATGATAGTTTATACTTACAGTGACTTATCACTCTTATATTTGACACACTATTTCTCTGCAAGTTCATAGGTAAATCTGGTCTTTCTAAGATTACCTCCTTTGCATATCTTGTCACACTAAAAGGCAGGTATTTGGTTATGAAAGACCACGGACGTTGTCAGCAAAACAGGCAGACAGAAGATGGCAGATTTCCTCCCAGTTTACTCTGTGAAACATAGGCATTTGCATTTTAAAGTACTTCTTTCTAGCAGGCCTCAGTGCTTCCGGAAGCTGCTGATGAAGAGAGGGATGGGAAGGCAGGCAGCTGGGGAAGCCTTGCAGAATATAGAAGAGCAGAAGCGGGCAAGGGCTCCCTCAAGAGGAACTGCATGTCTTATATTGTGAAATCACGGCGACTGAGGCTCAGCCGACTTGAAATGGGAGACCTCAACATTTGTTGGTTTCTAGTTTATGAAATGAGGAGGCTAGAAAGAACGTAGTTCTGTTCCTTCTTCGTCTTGTTTTTAATTAAGTGAATGGAGATGATTTTCTTTCCAAGAGTCATTCCTATTTCAATGGTATACATTAGAAAACCTGTTAGAAACACCTTCAATAGTATCATATCCTTACTTGTTAATTTGGAGAGTGAGTGCCTAGTAGACCAGGAATAGCTTAGCAGTCCCTGGTTTTTCAGTTTTGTATATCAAGGGGATACGTGGTAGGTGCTCACAATAAATTTGCAGAATTGTGTTTGCAGATTTTTCTCTCTTAAGAAATGTCAGTGGATAACAGTAATAGTAGCTGACATTTGTTGTGTGTATACTTTTGTGCTGACACTGTACTTGATCCTTCACACATACTATTTCATCTAATAGATACAATCACCTTGGGAGGCAGGCGTTACCATCATCTTTTACTGATGGGGAAACTGAGGCACAGAGAAGTTACACAATTTCCCCAATAGACAGAAGCTAGGATTCAGCTCCCGGTCAATCTAACTGCTTAATTAACTCTTTTGTACTGTGCTATGTTGACTATATTGAAATTAAAAATAGTTTTTAAATACTTGAATGCTAAGTTGTAATGACATGTAAACATTTCCCAAAGAATATTAAAATATTTATTATTCAAAACCAAAAAGTCTAAACAATTTGTTTTTTGTTGTTGTTGTTGATTTACTAAAGGTAATAATAGTGTGACCATATAACTTAAATCCAAACTAAAGTTGAAAGGGGGTGATATTAACAATTATGTGGTGATAACAGGAACAAACCATCCTGTTCTGGCAACTAAGTTAATACCAATTACCCTACTGATTGTTGGTTGGTCTTCATCTTTGAGGCAAAAAGTGTTAAAACCATTCTTCATGTTTTTGACCTTCTAGGGGGATTTCTCAATGTCAATGTAAGTGAAGTCAGTTTTGATGAAATTCATCAACTCTTCTCCAAGGATTTAGATATTGAACCAGGAGGACACTGGAGACCCAAAGACTGTAAACCCAGATGGAAGGTGCAGTACATTTTCTCATAAGTAATGTGACCTTACTGTGTATTTGAGGAAAAGTGTGCTTGATTCAGAATTTATATTGAAATACCTGTAAGTCTTAATAGATTTGAAGACATCAACATTTTTATGTTTAATGTATAGGTATTCACAGTTTGAATGTGATTTAATAGTGCTACTTATGAAGACTCTAACTGCTCCTATGCATATACAAAATATATGCTCATGTGTTATTACCAGTCTTGGAGAGCCTAGTAACAGACGCTTTCCAGTTCTGTTCTGTTTGGAAGAGAGGCTGTGATTTCTGTGCCTCCTGCACTGTCCCTAGTGACTACTGACACCTGCAGGCATAGCCCCGCCAAGTCCTGGAACTGGTGGGTGGGAGTTCATGGGGAGGATATTAATGTCCTGGTTTCCAGTTGGGTCTAGCACTGGGATTTTCAAGCTGTGAGACAAGAAGGAGAATGCTGCGCTCTTCACCTCTATTCAGGAGGCAGAAGACAAACTTTTTTCTTTTTTGTTATGTTGCACTTCTTGTTAATGTTATTTGAAAAACTATAAGGGAGAGGGCCTGCCTCTGCTGCTGAAAACCGTGGTTTAGACTCAACTTGCTCACAGTTCTATGAAATTGTTTAAGTGCGTATTCATGTGACGTTTTTAGGGTCGAGTAGGAAGTAGTATTGACGTAATTCAAGTGAAAATTACATATGATTAAATCATATGTTATGTCCTAAAGGAGGGTGGCGTAACCTTAATCTGGGCATGGTTTTTAATTTCTCTTTTAAAATTTTTAGTATTCTGCTAAACTATTAGTGGTGTGTTTCTTTTTTGGTACAAACAATCACTGCTGGGAAGGAGCATTCCATGCTGTTAAGCTTATGATGGAGGTCCTCTGCTTTACTGGCCTTGAGCTGTCAGTGTTTGGGAATGTGTACTGTTTACATCTGCATAGAGCACGTTGTCATATACAGGAAGTGGGTTTACAGTTGTGAGTACGTGAAAGAGTTTGTTCTTGTACTATTAGTTATTAATTATTGTGTTATTTCTATCACAACTGTAAACCTACTTTTAGAGAAAGTAATACCAAAATTAAGGGTTCTTGTCCCTACCCCGTATAAGGTAAGTGCTGAACCCAGTTTTGTTGAATTGAGTTTATGTGACAAACAAGAGCCCTATTAAACCATAAGCTGCTTAAATGAATTCCAGTACAAATTTTGGTAAAACAGTCTATTTCACAATTGTCATATGCTATTTTCCAGATCAGATTTGGTTAATAAATTAATCTTCTCAAATGTCATGATGGATTTTTCTCACATTTATATATATAATGTGGCCCAATTTATATCAATTCCACTTTTTAAAAATGTCCTGGGCAAATAAATTATTTTTCTTACTTGTGTGATGAGTATGTGTGTTGGACGCTAATGGAAGGAAAGCATACTCTGTCACGAAGGCTGCAGGTTAGCACAGAGCGTGGGCCTCAGACGTATACTCATGTGGGGTACTGGGTACCCTGTAGGTGCTGTGTGGCTTCGTAGTACAGTAATCCGGGATTAGAAAAATCAAATATTCTTGTCCTTCCTCCAGTGCTCTGTATCAGACATTGGATTTTAAATTTTATGTTTTTTGTCTTCTCATTTTCCAGCAGACATAAGCAGTTCCGACTTAGAGATTTAAGTAGCTGTCAACTCCGCATGAATCAGTGGACAACAGTGTTGAAAGGGGAGTTCCTAGGAGCAAGCTAACTGAGGGATCTAAGAATTAACTTATTTTATTTAGGAACTTTATGGTAATGTTCCTATTTCAGCTTTGCACAGATTCTACTGAGAATACAGTCTCTGGTTCTGAGCTATGCAGCTAAAGATATGAGAGGAAATTTGGAGATCATTCAGAGGTGACTTGTCCTTGCCATATTTAACTAATTAAATAATCCTCTCCTCCCCCCTGTTTACATTTTAATAGTGTCCCAATCTAATCTTGGAACAGAGTTGAGGGAGGGAAAGAAGAAATTATTAGATTTATGGCAAACATCTACTACCAACTTGATTTTAATATTTGAGGTTCTTTTTTAAAAATTTAAAAAATCAGTTGATGGCTAGTTAATTGGGATTGAGATCTTCTAAAACTAGTGATTTCAGCAGTTCCTGCATATTTCTGAAGACTGCAGGTTTGAGTAGGAGATTCAGATTGGATGCATATTTCTAAAGGAAACAGGAGATGGACGTGTATAACTGTGGCGTTGCCTTTCCACTCAGGGTTCAGGTAGAGGCCTGAACAACTTTGGTCTCAAACCTAAAGCCTTAAAGAACGAGGCAGCTACCTGATGCTGTTATGTACTCAGAGGCTTGGAGTTCATTTCTAGTCCAACAAAGATGGGTCTTAGCCACCTGTCTCAGAACTACCTGGGTGTTTGGTAAAAATGAAGACTGTGGAACTCAGTCCTCAGACACTGTGCCTATGGGTGGGAAGTGACAAGAACTTGTACTTTATCCAGTGCCTCCTCTTTGAGAAGTTCCTGTAGGCACTGGAAATGAGGAGGAAGAGGAGGACGGACCTGAAAATACCACAGGAGAATGAGAGCTTGGTAGTGGCAGATAGCTAGCACACCCTTATAGTAGCCACGTCTGAAGCTATGTCACTTAGGGACACCGTGGCTGGGGGGTGTGCTTGAAGTTTAGAAGTAGGACAAAACTAGGTAGGGGACATTTATGTAGCAGACATCTTTCTCACTAATCTCTTCCTGGTACACACAGGAGAAAATAAGCAAGGAAGAAAAACAGATGCATAAACTCAGTGAGGTTAGTGGTTTTCAAGTGGGAGCAGACTGAATGGGACAATTGTGCTTGAACAGAGAAGGTTTGGAGAGAGTCATGAAGATGAAGGGTTGTTTTTCAGAGGATAATGACCAGATGTTCTTTATTGCCACTGGAGATGTCTCAACGGGAAAGTGGCTCAAACAGCAAATTAGGGTACATATAGGAAAGAGTGTCCTGAAACAGAAAATCTTGAAATAAATGATCACAGAACACTGAGATCTCCTTTTTTCTAGACAATAAATTGTAAACAATTGAGAATAGCATTCTACAGCCACAAGAAGGGACATGCCCAGTAAAAATTTCAGATACTGTTTAGCTTTAATTTAATAAAAACTTTTCTTTAGGCATACCATTCAAAATTTTTCATAACTGTCTCATTAAAATGTGGACATTTATTTGCTATTAAAACAACAGTTTTGCTTATATGAATTTGCAAAGACACTGGTAATTTTTTTCCTCATGACATTCTCAGTTTTTTTTTTATAAGATTAAAAACAAATACAACTCGATATTTTAAATGCATCATTGAAGAAATTACTGTATTAAGGGCTATGACTTTGCCTTTGTTTATTCTTATATGTTTAACTCATCAGTCAGCCTTATTTTATTTAAATAATATAGACTTTTTGAAGTATGGACTCTGGAGCTATTTAATAACCTCTTCCCTTAAAGCTGTAATTCTCCTTAACTGCTTTTATAGCCCATTTACATTATGTCTGAGGCAGCCAACTGGTGGCTAATTCAAAACCAGGAGAGTGAGCTCCACCTTTATTTCAGCAGAAATTATCACACTGGTACACATCAGATAAGGTCAGTGGTAGGGATCTGCACTCACTATCTAATTCCTTTCTCTCCTTTTACTTTATAGAGCAATTTCCTATCCTAAGAGTAAACCCATGGGTCCCTGTATTGATTTGGGAGTTCCTTGAATATTGCAATAATTGATACTGAAGCCCATCAGCAAGTTCCCAATCAGTAGGGAGTGCCCAGCACCAACAGTAGCCGTAGTGTGGGGGGTGGAAGGGATTTGAATGGGGGTTGTTCTGGCAGCTTTGTGGCTTCAGATTCAGAAGCCAAGGGGTACCTTAGGGGCAAACCAAAAGGGAGTGGGATCCAAAGTGGGGCTGGCAGGGGTCCCAGAATCTCTCTAGTTCCTACCACTTAGCAAATAGAAAACAAAGTAAACATGAAAATATCAGCCTCATAACAGCTATTTTTTGCTCTCCCATTGGAATTAAGGGAAAATTAGTGGTGGAGTTCCTCGTTTAGACATCTTAAGTTTACTAAATTATCTCGTATTTGCTCTAAATAAAACTATTTTAAGAATTTAAAATTTTCTCTCATTTACGATCCTGGTAATATAAAATACACAGTCCATGTTGCTGTTTTTTATTGGTATGTGTGTGTAATGCCAGGTCCTGATTTTATAGGTAAGATTAGGTCCTAAACCTGGCACTCCCAATTATTTACACTTTATTCATTCATTAGTAAAATTTACTTTGTAGATGTGAAATTTTAATAAGTCCCACATTTAGTGTTCTTAAATAATTTTTGTAATAGTCAAATTAGATTGTGTTTAAAAATCCAGAATGTAGCCCGGCTGGTGTAGCTTAGTGGTTGAGTGTCAACCCATGCACCAAGAGGTCTCTGGTTCAATTTCTGGTCAGGGCACATGCCCATGTTGTGGGCCAAATCCCCAGTGGGGGGCATGCAGGAGGCAGCCAGTGGATGTTCTCTCTCATCGATGTTTCCATCTCTCTCTCCCTCTGCCTTCCTCTGTCTCTGGAATCAATAAAGAAAAAAATTTTTTTAAAAAAAATCCAGAATGTAGAGTGGCATAGAAATTTTAATTAGATATATTTTGACTGTTACATTCTTTAAAAATCTAATGATTTTGTAATTTATGATGTGTAGAAAACTTATTTTAACTTCAGCGTTTTTTAATTAGAAAATCTACAATTATACTAAAGCCAGCTTAGCTCAGAAATTGCCAAAAAAGTAATGTTTAGAAAACATTCAAGTTGTTTCAAAGGCAAACTGAATTATAGGGTGTCTTGGCTTATATGACAAAATTTAGATCCAGAAAATAGAGGATTTGAGTTGAGTGATGATGGATAATTATTTATTTATTCTCATGTTACATTAACATATTTTATATAGATGATGTTTTCTAATCTTGATTTTGATAGTTCCAATAATTTTTTCTATTAGACAAAAGATTGAGCTACCAAGAAATCATTCTAATTTCCATATATGTTGTTTTTTTCTTTTTGAGGGGGATTATTTATGAACAAATTTCTTTGATTTATCAAGGACCAAGTTCTCTGTTCTCTGTGCTACTTACAGGATCTTTATTGTTAAGCTCAACATTTTAAACATAATTTTATTGTCAATTTAAATTTGAATATTATCTTCCCTCTGAAATAAACATAAATTGTAGAAAACTTTAATTGTACATTTTGATTAAATTAAAAATATTATATTAATATAATTATAAAACTTCATGTATATTCTAGGACATATCTGTTATATTTCTTAAAAATATCTTCAGGACAGATAAGCCATGTGTAGGATAATAGTTAGCTAAGTGGTATCTCTTTTGAATTTAATTTAAACACCATAAAGTTACTCTTTACACATCTCTCTTCCTCATTACTGATGTCTCATCCATAAATAAATCCTGTCTATTTTCCTCTTAAATGTTTCAAAACAGCATTTCCCCTCTTCTCCTTCACCTTCACCTCACTTCAAGCTGTTATCACCATCACCTATTGCATTAATTTCAAACCATCTCCCTGAGACCATTTTGGTTTCCTCAGTCAACTCTCTGTGTAGTCTCTGCCATCACCAAATCTCATTTTATCACTCTTTTTCAATCTTTTCACAACTTCTCATGGTGCTCGTAGGATAAAGACCATAATCCTTAACTGCCCTCAGGGCCCATTCATACCTCCCCAGGTTCACAAGACCGTAAGTGGCAAGGGCCATGTCTGTTTCTGCTCACTGTTACTTAGATCTCTGGTGAGAAAATTCATAAGGGTATGACTTTACAACTGTTATACGTTTGTAAGGATTAGTAGTCATCCTTACGTCTAGGGCTTGTTGCTATGTTATTTACATATATGACTGTTTTGCTTTGAAGGTGGCAGTTCTCATTCCTTTTCGTAATCGCCATGAACATCTTCCAATTTTTTTCTTGCATCTGATTCCAATGCTCCAGAAACAGCGACTGGAATTTGCCTTTTATGTCATTGAACAGGTGAGAATATTTTTTCAAAATGGTAATCAAGTCTACTAGAGCATCATAAACTCTTGGATGTGGTTTGATTAAAAATATTTAGCTTAAGGTTAATTGGGTAACTCAAATCCTTGGTTTTCTGTTTGGATAAATTGAATTTTTGGTTCTGCTGTTAATGGCATATACCACATTTTGTTAATTCATTTATCAAATTATGTGTTCCTATTATTTCATCTTATATCTTATTAAAGTAAACATTTTTTGTCTATTCTGTGTAGTATCAGCTAAATATTTCTCTTGTCTCAGTATTTTATATACACAATTTATTTCATTCTTATTTAAACCCTTTAGAGATATTTTCCATACTTCTATTTTTTTCCACTTCTGTCGTTACCTAGTTTTACATTTAAAAAGTTATCTTTCATTTCTTTCTTGGTCTTTTCCCCATCCCAGCTCCCAAACATTGGGGAAATTGCTGAATTTCGCCACTGACTTCTGTATAACATTTCTAAAACTGTACATTTTGTTTATATTTCAAATACATATAATTTGGATACTTCTGGTTTTGACATTAATGAACTCATTTTGTCCTGATCTTTCCTTTTTTAACTCACACTGAACCTGACTAAAAATATGTATCAGTAGTCAGAAAGTAACCTGTTTTATGTTATCAGATGCTGGTTCTTTGGAGGTAGAGTATATTCAAAATTTTATTCCTCAGATTGTAATATTTAGTATGTTCTGCCAGCTCCTGTGTGGTTTATTCTATGAAATCCTTTACTCTTTCTTATTTTTTTTCTTTTAAATTTCTTGCCTTTAGCTTATTGCATCGATTTATTCCCCTGGAAATACTTTGTTTTTAATACAATTTATGCTTTTCTGTAAGTCTATCACCCTTAAGGTTTGTTCTCTGTGCACATGATGATCATGTAGTACATAGTGCCTATGTACTTTTTTAATGTAACAACCTGTACCATGAAAATTGACTTTTTAAAACCTGATAGCAAGTAAAAAAATTTAGCTACTTTCGTGATAGCCGTAGTTGTGGATGTCTAGGTCAGTTTTCCCAACTGCAACTCTCCTTTTTTAAAAAACTTCAGTGTCCATGACATGTTGGGAGATGAGCTGTCTGCCTCTGTGTTTTTGAGGATGTATTCTCCTGGGAGTCCAGCATCAGCGAATTACCTTTCGAGTGTGACAAAGAAATCTTTGCAAAGCAGCTGACATCTATATTTTATAAACCTCTTAGGTCAGAACCTCAGCCTCGATCAATATTAATTCAGGCCAGTGTATCTGCCAGTGTGTAGTTTTGTGCAGCAACATCCTTACCACATATGAAGCAGAAGAGAAGTTTTCTGCTGGACTGGTGCCCGGAAGTGCTAGGCAGTGGAAGAGCTGCCCAGAACTCCTGGTTTAATGTGGGAGATTGTACACACACCCACCCCTTCTTTCTAAACTCCTAAAATGAGAAAGAAAGAAAACACTTTAAAAATAATTATTAAACCACAAGGACAAAGAGATGGAAGGAGTTGGGAGATTTCAACACATTGCTGGAGGTCAGGAAGCAGATGGACCACTGGCAACTCCCTTGGCAGAGCAGAGGCTGCTCAGACCCACGTGCTCGGTGGGGGTGATTGCGACAGAACTGAATCAGTGTCCTGGACAAACCCCTGTAAATCTCAGCACTTGAAAGGTGTCACAGAAGACATACTGAAGCACTGGACTAAAGTTGGGGGATTACTTGAAAGTTTGATTACAAAGCAGTCAAGTCCCCAGTTCCTCTTTTTTTTTTTTTTTTTTATCCTCACCGGAGGATATGTTTTATTGATTTTTAGAGAGAGAAACACCAGTCGGTTGCCTCCCATATGGGATTGAACCCACACACTAGGTATGTGCCCTGACTGGGAATCGAACCTGAAACTTTTTGGTGTATGCGATGATGCTCCAACCGACTGAGCCACCCGGCCAGGGTGCCAGGTCCCTCATTTTTGCTTGTGTTGCCAGGTGGTTACTTTGTTGTATCTTGTGGAGAATGAAAAGTTTCTCTGGAGAAACTCCTCTAGAGAAGGTCCCGGCTGTGCTGACTGAGCTGTGCTGTGGGTCCCCCAAGCAGAGGGTTAAGTCAGTTCAAGTCAGTCTATATGTGACTCAGGGGACCCTCAGGCCTTCTCCCTGTTTGGCCTTTTGAAGCCAGCAGTTAGGCATGAGTCTCCCCAGCTTCTCCAGCTGAGGCAGGGCATGTGTGATATCTTCACTAGAGAAACAGATTCGCCCCAGGAAAAAGATACCCAACCTAATATTTGGAAGTTTCCATAGAAAAAGGCCAGTTTATCACCTCTATGCAGCCCACTTTCATTCATTCAGCAAAGCAGATACAAAAGTGGACACACCAGGGAAGGCCTCTCCTGTTCTCATGAGGAGAGACAGGCAGTTAACAATTGTGTGATGTGTCAGGTGGTGCTCAGGGCTCAGAGTCAGGGCAGAGTAAGGCAGGGAGAGGTGTTCTTTTATACAGAGTAATCAGGGAAGGCCTCTCGGCAGAGGTGAGGTTGGAGCCGTCCTGAATGATGTAAAGCAGCAAGCTGTACTGCTGTTGGGAGAAGTGCATTGGCAGGAGATGCGTGGAGTGTGTGGGCAACGAGGTCATTCTTGCTAGAGTATGAGTGGAAGAGATGTTAGGGAGGAAGTCGGGGGTGGGGGTGGGGGCGGGGGCGAGAAGCACATAATGAAGGACCTGCCAGGCCAGGGTAAGGACTCGGACTATTCCACATGAGAGTGGAAGACTCTGGAGGGTTTTGAGTAGAGGAATGACATGACCCAACTGTTGTTTTAATAAGACGACTGTTCAGAGAATAGACTGAGGGGGATAAGGGCTCCAACAAGAATAGTTAGAAAGCTTTTGCTATTGTCCAGGAAAGATGTTGACTTGGGCTGCTGTGGCAGGAGGTGAGTAGTGGTTGGGCTTGGGCGACATTGGGTTTGGAAGTGATATTGTTTGCTGGTGAGTTGGATAAGCAGTGTGAACAATGGAGGACGGTTAACAGTGGTGCCAGGGTTTTTGTCTTGCACATTGTCTGAGCTATGGACATGTAGAACACAGCAGAAGAGCGGGCCTGTGTGGTTTTAGCTTGGTTAGGGATTTGCTCATGCACACGCGTGGTGTATGTGTGGTGTCTGCGCTGGAGTGATGTGCCACCATCCTCACATACATAGGTGGGCATTTCCTTCAGCTTTTTAGTGCCTTTCTTTCCAATGTGATTGGGCAGCCAAGCGTTCTCATATTTTGAAGAAACCCTCCACAAAAGGAGACAAAACCAGTCAAACAAAAGGGAGTGTAAAAAATAAAAACAAGAGACTTTGGAGGGAGAAGAGGAAATCTAAGAAAAGAAAAGAAAGGAAACTCATAATCAGTATCCACAGAGAAGAGATGAAAGATAATGAATCCATGAAACAAAGATAGGACGCCATAAAGAAAGAATAATCGGAACAAGAAAATGATTGAAAATGAAAATATGAGAACTAAAAGAGAACTTTCAATAGAATGGCTGGAAGATCAACTTAAGAAAATGACTCCTAAACTAGAATGAAAACATAAAAAAATCACCCTAAGAGTACCAATACCTCATGGGGTAAACAGCATCCTCGCCTCCTTGTAACCAGGCCCTTATGTGGTCCTCCTGCCATGAATAAGGGCCGATGTGTGGGCAAGCACCTGCGGAGGGGCAGCATGTGACTTCGGAGGTTAGGTTGTAAGCGACATGGCTGCTTCTGCCTTGGTCTCTTGGATCCCTCACAGGGAAGCCAGCTGCTGTGTCATGAGGACACTCAAGAAGCTCTGTGGAGAGGAGCCGACGTGCCAGCAGCATCTGGCCAGCCACATGAATGAGCACCTCGGAGCTGGATCTCCCAGCTGAGGCCCAGACATCGTGGAGCAGAGAGAGACAGTATCTGCCATGCTGTCAGAAGTCCCTATCCACAGATGCTGCGAGCATAATAAATGACCGTTACATTTTTAGCCACTAAGTGTTTCCGTGATGTGTTACACACCAATAGATAACTAACACACTCACTCATCAGGGTTCTGGAAAAATATATCAGAAAAAATGGGGTAGGGGGTCATGGAGAATATAACCAAAGAAATAATGTAAGAAAATTTCCCAGAAGCAAAGCCATGAGTCTTCAGATTAAAGAGGCCACATGTACACCGGAGTAAAATATAGATCCACTATGGAATATATTATTCTGTAATTTTAGAATACAAATTAAAATAGGAAGATATCCAAAAGGTTCTATAGAAAAAATTACCAATGACTATGTATCATAATTGTATGAACCTTCTCAGCAATGCCGATAGCTAGAAGACTGTGTAGCCATGCCTGTAACATTCTAGGGGAAAGTAATTTTCAATCTAGAATTTTCACCCAGCCAAAATGGCAATCTAGTGTGAGGATAGATTTATGTTATTTTTAATTGTTAATGTATTAAAAATATTTTTTTTCATGAATTCATACTTAGGAAGCTGCTCAAAGATATGCTTCGGCAAACTGAGAATGTCAAGTAACATATAAATGATCTAGAGAATGAAAGAGAAGTCCCAGGACAACAGGGTGATATTCAAACATGGTCAGACCAGTTCAGATGGGCGAGAGCTGAGGGCAGTGGGAGCTGGAGTTGGGCTTGGCGGGTGGAGAGAGAACTGATAGATGATTTAATGTGTTTGAATGGTTACATGCATTATTAAGAGATATAGGGCATATTTATTGGGGCTTTTGTGCAAAGTAATAATAGTTCTATAGTAAACTAAGAAAACAGGAGACAGTTATTAATTCTAGTTTGAGAAAGAAAACTAACCAAATTCATTCAGCACTCAAGAAGTATTTCCGTCATCCTAATAATATAAACAATATTGAGTTAGCCAAAAATTATGATATGACTGTATATATTGGGAGAATGGGTGGAGGAGCAGTGTGTTAGTGTACATCCTCCACAACCATGATAATAAGTCAATAGACAACGTCTAAAGTTAATGATGCAAGGACATACCAGAACTCTCATCTTGAAATATGGAGATAAGTACCAGAATACACTTCTATAGGAGTTGAAATGTATTGTTCTTGGAGGATGAAGATGGGCAAGATATGTAACACATTTTGAGTACACGCCATTAAGTATTGTATCTACAGTTAATAAAAACATGTTTTAAAACAGGCTGAATTCACTTTATTTTCTTGTATAAAATTATGTGGTGGCCACAGGTGGAGCTGGGCCCTCTGTACAAGAACTCTGGTGTGGGTCTTTACAAGATGATCAATAAATTGCTGATAGGGAGACCAGGTGAGCATGGTCTCTTTCCAGAGGTCAGGGTGAGATAGCTGTAGTTCTTGGAGATTGCATCAAAGGTGGCCTTGGCAAAGTTGTCCAGGGTGGCAATGCAGCCCGTGGCCGAGGTGTAGCAGCCGTGGGTACCAGCCATCAGCAGCAGCTTCTCGGGCACTAGGGCTGAGACGATGCCAGAGCCCTTGGGGGCGAGGATGAGGCTCACCAACATAAAGCCACAGCAGCTGGTCACCTTGCAAGGAACCGTGTGGGGCTTGCCGACCTTGTTCCCTCAGTGACCTCATGCACAGGGACAATAAAGAGCTTGACCAGGATGATGGTCCCATGATGGCAGTGGCCACTTCCTTTGAGCGCCTAACACCCAGACCAACATGTCCAGTGTAGTCCTCAGTGATGACAAATGCCCTGACCTGGGTGCTCTGGCCAGTGCAGATCTGCTTTTGCCTGGGCCTGATCTTCAAAACCTCATACTTGAGGGATGCTCCCAAGGAAAACTCCATGATCTCAGATCCCATGATGGGCAAGGAGAAGAGAGAGAGCTCTTCCAGGGACTTGAACTTCAGGTTCTTGAGCAGGCGGCCCAACTGGGTGCTGGGGATCCACTCCTTGTCCTTGATCTTGCCTCCGTGAGCTCTGTAGCCTGGGCGCCGACCCCAGCAGTGACCTTGACCCCCAGTGCCTCTGCTCAGTCTTCCACAGAAGCTGCACGGCTTCCCATTCCACGCCCCCGGCCTCCGGGCCCTCCCACAGCTCCAGCGTCATCTGCTCGGTGGTGTTTCCTTGGAGAAGAAGCAACAAAAACAAGTTTTAAAACCTTGAAGGAAAGTAGTTCAAGCTGATGTTAATGTGCCTGTAATAACATCATAATTTACCATTATCTTCTATTCTCTCCATTTCATTGCTGAAGAAAGAAGCTGTAAAAAGTGAAGTTGTTTTTACTACCTCAAGTTAGTGCAGGACCCAGGATTGAAAATGAATAATTTCTGTAGTGAGGTGCACTCCAGTGCCGACCACGTAGTGTGTCTCTTGCTTCTGTCATAATCCCCTTTTCTTTTATATTTTGGAAATGATTTTGAGAAATATTGCTAAGGCCTAGGTAACTGCTCTTTAATTTTCTTTAGATACAGAATGAACTTCTTAATTTTTTATTTTTTTTTTATCATCCTCACCCGAGGACATTTTTCCATTCTTTGTTCAGATAGAGTGGGAGGGAGAGAGAGGAACAGAGAGAGAGAAACATCGATGTGAAAGGGACACATCGAGTGGTCGCCACCCGCACAGCCAACCAGGGCAGGGGACAAACTGCAACCGAAGTACGTGCCCTTAGCGGGAACCGAACCCGGGTCTCTCCGGACCGCAGGCCGATGCTCTAACCGCTGAGCCAAACCGGCCAGGGCCAGAATGAACTTTTTATTGTCAATGCACCTTAATATAATTTCCTTTATAAAAAAAGGTAAGTGGTTATAATATAGAATGTTGGTTCTGTGTAACAAGTTTCCATCTTTTGTTTCATAAATGCTCTTGGTATTTATTTAATCCTCACCTGAGGATACTTTTCCATTTATCTTCAGATAGAGTGGGAGGGAGAGAGAGACACATCAATTGGCTGCTTCCTGCATGACCCCAACCAGGGCCAAGGACTGAACCGCAACCAAGGTATATGCCCTTGACTGGGATCGAACCCAAGACTCTTTGGTCTGAGGGCCAATGCTCTCTAACTGCTGAGCCAAACCGGCCAGGGGCTCTTGGTATTTATTATAGGCAAGAATAATAAAAATAAGAACTGTTTGTTACCTCGGCATTTTAATGTATTTTTTCTAGTAATGAAAAGTGGTTATAGTAAAGGAAGTTAGGCTTTGTGTAATAAGTTCCAATTGTTTTTGTCTTTGTTATAAGCATTAGTAATCAAAGTTAGCTCTCCCTGACCTTGTTATATAAGAGAAGGGTTACCCTTTGCTTCTCTTAGTCTTGATAGCATTTGGAAAGCTTCACTAAAAAATACAACCTGCCCTGGATGGGTGTCTCAGTTGGTAGGAGCATTGTCTTGTACACCAAAACATTGCGGGTTTGATCCCTGGTCAGGGCACATACCCGGGTTTCAGGTTCAATTCCTGGTTGGGGCATGTATGGGAGGCAACCAATCGATGTCTCTCTCTCTCTCTCAAAAACAAACAAACAAACAAACAAACAAACAAACAATATATCATTGGGTGAAGATTAAAAAAAATACAACCTATGTAATTTTTAATGGCTTTATTTTTTCTGGCCATAAATCACCTGTATCCTGATATTTGAAGTAACACAGAAGCGTAAATGCTGTCATTATATAAATGTGATGCTCAACCAATAGACTAGATAATAACATTGCTTTCTTGTAATTGACGAAAGCATAAAATAATGCAAGAAAATTTAAATGGTATATTTGAAAACCTTGAAGTATGTTTATTATTTTATCTATTGATTCAGATGTATTTATTACTTGACCATGATTCAACAAGTTAGAAAACCTAAGAACAGTCAGATGGCATAGCCTGAGTGGCATTTCTGTTTTTGTCCCTGTGCAGACCGGCACACAGCCGTTCAATCGTGCTATGCTCTTCAACGTGGGCTTCAAAGAGGCCATGAAAGACAGCGTGTGGGACTGCGTGATCTTCCACGATGTGGATCACCTGCCTGAAAATGACCGAAACTATTACGGATGTGGAGAAATGCCACGTCATTTTGCAGCAAAGCTGGATAAATACATGTATATGTAAGTAATGTGCATCTTCCTGATACTGTATAATGTACTTGCAAAATCGTATCATCGGAATGGTATCATCATCATGTGTCCACATGTGAGATTGTTCAAAGCCTAAAGAGTATGGTTAATTCCAGCCCATCCTCATGGGGAGCCAGGCTGTGGAGTCACTGGTCCATGTAGGTTCTTCCTCATGAAGAGGTTTGTGTGGATTTGGGGGAAAGAGCTTGGTTTCCACTGTCAAGCAAATATGGGTGTAACTTCTGGTTTTCACACTGAACAGTTACCGGAGTTATCAGTTACTTGTACTCTGAACACTGGTTTCCCTGTTCATTGGAGTAGTAGAGTCCATCCACGGGCTGCACTGTGATCCCATATGCTGCCCCTGCCCATGGAGGGCACAGCACCCATGGTCTCCCTTCTGCTTCCCCTTCTCCGGTGGTGGTTCCGTGCAGGGAAGGTCCTCTCTTCTGCAGTGTGTCGTCTTCTTTCTAAGCTATGGATTCTTGACATGCTTTTAATAATAAGAAACACACTTTCTCATTCTCTGACTGGAAATACCTTGAACATAAACAGTTATTGAAGCTATGACAGTAACTTTTTAATTTTTTTAAATTACTGTTTACTTTCCGTTTTATTTTGTATTAGTTTCAGGTGTACAGCATAGTGGTGAGACAATCGTATACTTCGCAAAGTGTTTCCCCTCTTATTTCTAGCACCCACCTGGCACCATGCATAGTTATTACAAAATTATTGACTATATTTCCTATGCTGCACTTCACATTTCAAGACTATTTTGTAATTACCAATCTGTATTTCTTAATCCCTTCAACTCTTTCACCCAGCCCTCGAACCCTCCGCTCCTCTGGCAACCATCAGTTTGTTCTCTGTATCTGTGAGTCTGTTTCTGCTTTGATTGTTTCTAATGTTCTTTAGATTCCACATTTGAGCGAAATCATATGGTATTTGTCTTTCTCTGACTGACTTATTTCACTGAGCGTACTAACCTCTAGGTCTGTCCATACTGTCACAAATGGTAAGATTTTGTTCTTTTTTTATGGCCGGGTAATATTTCATTGTATATATGTACCACAGCTTTTTTATGCACTCATCCATTGATGGGCACTTGGGTTGCTTCCATGTCTTGGCTATTGTAAGTAATGCTGCAGTGAACATAGGGGTTGTATATTCTTTCAAATCAGTGTTTTAGGTTTCTTCAGGTATAAACTCAGAAGTGGATTCACTGGATCATAGGCAGTTCCATGTAAACATTTTTGAGCAACCTTTATACTGTTTCCCACAGTGGCTGCACCAGTCTGCATTCCCACCAGTAGTGCACAAGGGTACCCTTTTCTCCACATCCTCGCCAACACTTGTTTTGTTGAGTTATTGATGGTGCCCTGGCCGGTTTGGCTCAGCGGTTAGAGCGCCCGCCTGGGGTCCGGAGTTATTGATGGCAGCCATTCTGACAGGTGTGAGGCGATATCTCATTGTGGTTTTAATTTGCGTTTCTCTGATGATTAGTGACATTGAGCATCTTTTCATATGTCTATTGGCTGTCTGTATGTCCTTTTTGGAGAAGTGTTTATTTAGGTCCTTTACCCATTTTTTTTTTTTTTTCCTCACCTGAGGACATTTTTTCCATTTTTTGTTCAGATAGAGCGGGAGGGAGAGAGAGGAAGAGAGAGAGAGAGAGAAACATCGATGTGAAGGGACACATCGAGTGGCTGCCACCCACACGACCAACCAGGGCCGGGGACAAACTGCAACCGAGGTACGTGCCCTTAGCGGGAACCAAACCCGGGTCTCTCTGTACCGCAGGCCGACGCTCCAACCACTGAGCCAAACCGGCCAGGGCCCTTTACCCATTTTTTAAATTGAATTGAATTTTTTTGGGTGTGTGTGTTGAGTTTTATAAGTTCATTATAGATTTTGGGTTTAACTCCTTATCAGATGTATCACTGATGAATATGTTCTCCCTTTCATTGGGATGCTGTGTCAGTAACTTAAACTGACATTAAAGCAGGAAGGTCTAATCTAGGAAAGAGATTACGGTTTTCATTGGCTAATGGAAGTGGAGAGGAGAGAAAACGGCCAGGAGCAGGGGAGATGACCCCTATATGACAGTTTTGCCTGCTGCCCAACCTACAGAGTAGAAAGAAGCAATGACACGCGCAGGTAAATCAACACTAAACAGGAGAAGAACGGCCTTTTCTCGTGTTGCGGGTGGTTGTCATCTTCAGAAAACCTCTCTCTGAACACCACTGTATCTGAACTCCAAGTCTGGCATTACCTTGGGAAGGTCATTCAGGTTCAAGATCTGGTTCTTAGCACTTCTGGAATAATTTTGGTCAGCCTGCTAAAGTTAAATCTGATTCAGTACAATTGATTTTCTCTTGAACATATCATAAAGGTCATATAAACTAAGTATTCTAAATTATCTTTTTTACTTGAACAATATTAATTTCTAGTGAATAAAATAGTCATATCTACCTAGACTAATCCTGGGGTTAGTAGGGTATCTTGGAAGGTTGACTAGAAGTGAGAATGCTGGCTTAGGGAGATGGTAGCAGGCTGGGGATGGCAGGGAGTGTGGACTTCATCCCTGGGGGAAGCCTGACGCAGCACCTCTGCCCAGCAGCGATGCCCACACTCTGCTGGCTGCTGACCACAAAGCTCAAGTCCCCATCTTAGCGTCTTCCCCCTGCGGAGAGTGTAAGATAAACGCTACTAAATTTTCGCTTGTTGCACGTCCGTTTTCTATTCTTTAGTTTATCTGTTATGCCTTTGTTTTATCTAATCTTTTTCCAATCTGGGTATAGTCCAATTGATTGTTTCCACTGAAGCAGAAAAATAAATGAAGTTAACGTGTGTGCCAGTTTAGACATGTCAGTAAACGCACACATACACACACACATGCATATCTACCTGTCTACGGATCTTAGGATTCTCCCTAAGGGTTGCATCAACAATGAAGTAAAATCGGCTTCCTCCCTTCCTCTGAGGCAACTGTGCTATAGTCCCGGCCAGGTTTCCTTCAGCTTGCTTTTCAGATGCTGTGCGTGGTTGTGTTTTCCCTTCTGGTCCTCCCCAGTGGCATGGCCCTTTTAAGGGCTCTAGCACACTACTCCCTGATAGCGCATTTGGGGCCAAAAGAATTATTCAAATCTGCAAGTCTAGGGGTGCCTACCTCAATATCAGAAATCCAACGTATATCTAAATAAATAACTTAGTTTGACAAATTCCTTGGAGTATGAGTTAGGGAAAGGCAAGGAAAAGTAAAATTCAAATTTAAAAATATAGTTATTTGTCAGAGAAAGACAATTATTCTGTAATTTTACTTATATGTGAAATCTAAGACACCCCCCCCCCCCCAACACACACACAAAACTGAATTCATAGATACAGAGAACAGATTGATGGTTGCTAGAGGTGGAGGGTGAGAGGCAGGTGCAATGGGTGAAGGTGGTCAAAGGTACAGGCTTCCAGTTATGAGATAAATAAGTTCTGGGGTGTAATGTACAGCATGGTGACTATGGTTAATAGTACTCTATTGTGAAAGTTGCTAAGAGAGTAGATCCTTGATGTTAACTAGACTTACTTTGGTAATTATTTCACGATATATACATATATCAAATCACTATGTTGTACACCTAAAAATAATGCAATGTTATGTGTCAGTTATACCTCAATAAAAAGTCATTTCTTTAAATATTAGTGCATTAAAAATACATGTATTTGTAAACATTCAAAAGTATTTTGGGACTATAATCCAAACAGATATATATTGTCACTTGAAAATTAAATACTAGACTTGTCTTTACTAATATGCATTTATCTTGGTCTATATAATAAATAATGCATTTATAATTATGTTCTATTTAGAAAATTTTATTAGCTTAGCAACATGTAACATCGCATTGACAGCTATTGATGGATTTAATTAAGTTCACTTTGCTGTAAAAATGAACAGTTTTGAACACTGGGTTTTGAGTATCATAAAGTAACAACACTAAATATTAACTTTCAATTACCACAAGTGTTTTTACATCACAGTTAGGTGTGCTTGTTTCGCTAGAATAGAAAAATGTTTTGTTTCTTGGGGTGCGTTACATTTCCCAGAATATGATTTAATCAACATAATTATTTATTTGGAAAACAGCGGTGTGTTTTACAAGGCACATTGAGGACTGAAAACTTGATTTTACGTGGCAAACTGTTCTGGTTTTATCTTTAGGATGCTCTGTTCTGCTTTCTTTTAGTCTTCCGTACAAAGAGTTCTTCGGTGGTGTGAGTGGACTGACCGTGGAGCAGTTTAGAAAGATCAATGGGTTTCCAAATGCCTTCTGGGGATGGGGAGGAGAAGATGATGACCTTTGGAACAGGTATGTTGAGGTACAAATTGCTTACTAGCAGAATTTCTATACATTTTCTTTCTATTGGGTAAATTGTACTTTGCTCTCCCAAGAAAAGATTCTTTGGGATGGAAAAGTTTTGAAATTCCTAAATCCTTTGTGTTTCTCCTTCTTTTCACAAAGAGGGCCTTCTAGAATTATTGCCATCACACCCATTAGAGCATTCTTTTGCATTTGAAATTGAACTCATACCATCAATGTTTATGTCATGTTATTTCTGTTTTCATTTGCTGGTATTGTACTGCAGGGTTCACTATGCTGGGTATAACGTAACAAGACCGGAGGGAGACTTGGGAAAGTACAAATCTATTCCTCATCACCATCGAGGTGAAGTCCAGTTTTTAGGACGGTAAGTTTAATATCTTCAGAGACCATGGTTCCAAAATTATTTAATGTATGAAAGATTTAAAATACTTATTGCACCCAAAAAAATCTTCTGAAGGGAATTTTCTGTCAATGTCATATTTTAAAAAATAGAAGTAAAGGATTTTTGTGCTTGTTTTGGAGAGATATACATATATCTGCATATACACATATATTTATGTTATATTAAAGAGTCCAGTTAACTTTATGGAAAAAGTGTTTTTTTTCTAAATAAAAAACATAATACATTTTATTTCTTGAGTATGTCTAAGTTGTAAAGGTACAGAATAATTTTTACAGGTGGCATTTTAAGACTTGTAGAAATGCTAATTTAGATGGTTTAGAGAGGTTTTTAGTTATGTTTGAGAACCAACACTTGTAAAGAGCATAAAATGCTTTAATTTATAAAAATGACCATGAGCATATTTCCCATCAGTTTTTCTTTTTGCACATGTTTCTGTTACTTTTCATTTTTTTCTCCAACACTATAGGTATAAATTGCTAAGGTATTCAAAAGAACGCCAGTACATCGATGGGTTGAACAATTTAATATACATGCCAAAAATACTGGTTGATAGGTTGTATACAAATATATCTGTAAACCTCATGCCAGAGTTAGCTCCAATCGAAGACTATTAAAGAAGTCGCTCTTATGGCAAGATAGACCACAGTGCTGATCATAAACTTAGATTGCACTCTCAATGGAGGTCAGCGAGTCGATGTGTCACAGTGCCCGGTTCATGGAAGAAGAGCCAGCAGTTCTCAGTGGTCACAGTGCGGGATTATTTGCAGTCAGCCTTCTTCCTCCCATCCTCTGCTCTGAGACACACCCAGTAGCAAGCACTGCAGAGACCAGATGCCATTGCTTAAGACTGGAAGTTAAGAGTGCCCTGCAAAGAAAGAATTTTTATACTGAAATCTATAATTTAATTCAAGAGAATGCTTTATTTCTGTTGAAACATATTTTGTACATAAGTGATGTAAATTAATGCGTTTAAATCGCTGAAAAATAAGATGTGTTGTAGTTTTGCATGTAATTGCTTATGCCTTTATTGGACTTTTATAAACATTTTTTTATTTGCATGGAAAAAAACAATGTAAATTTATGAAACTAAACAAAAGGTTAACCCTTGTGTGAAATGAAGGACCTGTCAATAATTGACAGCCAACTAATACAGTAAACTGTTATACGAGTTTTGAGCTTTAGACCTTCAGCCTTCTGTGTGGAAGAAGTCACAGCTTTCTTAGGGTCGTACTGGGTGAGAAGAAATGGCTTAAACAGCTTTCCTTCCTACCAGGATTACCTGTGTTTTTCCTTGCTTGCAATATCATCAGATTTTGCTAAATCACAACCATAATGTTTATGCATATTGCATGAGTATTACCAAGAAAATCTTCAAAGTTGTGATGTGACATGATATCAAGGACCTCGTTATGTTCAATGCCTTTCATGTACCTCTGGTGTCCGTGTCAGGGATTTTGTGCCTCAAAAAATGTTCCCACTGTTGTGTGTTTGTACACTGTTTTTTGTTTGTTTGTTTGTTTTGGTTTTTAGTGAACAGCACTTTTATTATTTCCAGTTCAGAAGAGCCAAACATTTTTTTTATTTAAAAAAAAATAACAACAAAATGATTTTTAAAAGAATGAGTTATATGGAAAACTCAATAGTACTTACAATATACAAATGAATTATACTACTAGATAAGAAATTAAATGTTCTATTTTTATGAAGATAAATGCTTAGTAGATAAACATAAATTTTTTAGTTCAATTCTCAGACTCATAGAATTCAAGTTTGGAAGGGATTCTTTGTAATGTTGCCCAATTTCATTCATGCTGTATTTTTTATTTTTACAAAATTATATGTCTGGTGTTAATTATTAAAATTTCCTCACTGAAAGCATAATTTAATAGAATTATAGTACATAATCAGTTTAAATACATTGATGTTATAAAGCAGTTCTTGGAAAATAGGTCTTAACTTCCTGACATCAAGTATATTACTTTATCTTAAATTTGGATGAGACGTTTATATGGCAAAACCAAACAAGATTTTTACGTTGAAAATGATCAATTATTGTTTACCAAAGAGTCTTTAAAACATCTTAAGGTATTTTCACAACTTTAAAACAAAAAATTATCTATATAGTGAATCTTTAAAAACAGTGAATAATAATAAAAATCTGTATTCGAGAGATGTTTGAATAATATTTGCCTCATAGATGATTCACCTAAAATAGAAATAGGGTTATTTATATCAGATTGTAAGTTTAATTTTTGAAGTTGGGATTTTCTATGGCATAATTGGTAACACAGATGACCACTAACCAAATCACAAAATAATTGAAATTCTTGTCCTTTGAAAAAACTGATAGCTCTCTGTTATGATACCAAACAGAAATTTTTCACATTTTTTCTTAGAAATATTTCCAAAATATTTGTCTCTAACTTTTTTTGCTTGTACTGAAAATAATGAAAAATCAAACCTTCTGAAAAGTAAATTTGTTCTTAATTTGTCTATCTTTGATTTCTGTCATTGTCAATGTAGTTTTTTAATTCAATGAAAGGAAAAAAAGTAAATTGGGAAAGTTACCATTTGTTGATCACTAACAAGATAGTAGGGGCTTAGGAGCATAATTAATCCATAAAATAATTAAATAATTAAATATTTTAGTTGTGGGGAAATCAGGGCTGTTTCTGAGTCTTATTAGGAAAACATTTTTTAATATGGAGCTACCCATATTTTGGAATTTTTTCATTTTGATGTACATGTTACAATTTCAAGAGAACTCCGCTCTACTAGAATCTGCCTTATTTTTTTGGAGGGGTTAAGTCTAATAGTAATTTTTGTTTTAGGAGTGAGCCATGAATATTTTGCTTTTTTTCAGTTTTGAATGTAGTATGTCCTTCTGTGAAAACATCTTATTAGTGTGCTTGTTGTCTTTTGTCTTTTGTTTGTTTTTGTTTTGCTTTTTAACTGCAGACTTAAAATTGACTTTTGCCTACATCGACTTATATGTTTCAATAAAAATGACAGAGTTTTGCCCAATTATCTTTATTATGTGAAAATAAATCTATTCCACAAAACAAATAAATATATTGCAAATGCAAGTTATCTTTTTTATAGTTTTCTTACCAACTCTATCAGGTGCAATGCTAGGTATGTCTACGGAAAAAGTACTTCATTTCTAAACAAATCAAGTCAAACAAGTGGAAACCTTTCTAAAATTATGAAGACATCCTCTGATTACTTATTCATTCATTGTCTTAGTCTCTAGAAACATACATCTGTGGACATAGTTATTACAAGGTCCCTCAGGCACTACTGGGAAAGTGATATAATGCCTTTCAACTAGAGAAAGTAATGATTAATGGGCCTATTTGTAGAAAAAAGGAAAAGTGTTCACATTGACTGTAACATTGTATCTAATTCATAGTGAAGTTAGTCATTTAAAACCTCTGCCAGAAACTAGGGTTTAATGAATATGTTTTTAAAATCTAAATTTAAATTTGTTTGTATTTCGTGAAAACCTTGCTTACAAAATTATGTAAGTACAAAATTACATATTAAAAACTTGCTTATACTCCTTTCCTAGCCAAGAGAGTGATATCCATTTTAAGAGAAAATGGAAAAATATGCAATACAATAGTCTCCCTCTTTTGGAGGCCCCCCATGAGTGAAAGCAGATTTTGTGTCATTTTATTTGGCATTTGCTTGTCTTTGTTGTATTTCTTTATGTATTTTTTTTTCAGACAAATATTAGCACTCTAGATTTATTGCCTTGCATTTGCAAGTATGCCAATCTAGAGAACTAAAATGGCCATAAGTGGTGTTTATCAGAAAGAGAAAGTGTACTTAAGATTGGTTTATTTATTAAGATCTGAAAGGCTTTTACATAAATGCACTGAAATAAATGCTAGTAATTTCTTGTATTCTCTCTCTCTCTCTTTTTTTTTTTGCTTCTCATGGAAATGTTTGTACTTTTTTATCATTGTCTTTTATGAAATATAATGTTCTAAAGACTTTGTGTGATGGTGTAATTATTTTCTCTCGGGAACATTTTTGGGGTTATCTGGGGTTTTTATTGTTGTGTTTGTTTTCCTAAATTCCAAGAGAATGGTTGATGAATACCTTGGTTGCACTAAGATTGCAACATAAACAGATGATCATAGCATTTGTCTTTGCAACAGTTTCAGTTAAATACATTTAGAGATTACTTCATAGTATTTTCCTCAAAAGAAACACAGTAATATTTAAATATTTGTCCTCAATACAATTAGTAACCTATTGTATCAAGGTGAATATTTAAGAAATCATTTTCATCATTACTTTTCTTCTTCCTGAACACTTTACTAACTAAAGTGATATGTTATGGTCAATTCCCTTCTTTTTTCCAGATATCAAGTAGTATTGAAGATCTTGAAGGCAAACAGTCAAATCTCAAATATACATAGGAACTAGATTTGTATCTGGCCTAGATTGTGAGATCATGACTTTTATAAAATTATTTATGTAATGAATTCTAAGTATTAACTTTTATGCACAGCATGAGCTACCAGGATATTGTCACTATATATCACAAATAAAGCCATTCATTAAATCATAATCATTTAGTCATTTAAATCATTCAAAGCCATAAAATTGAGTTGACTTAGTCGGCCCCAGGTTCTTACCTATAGTAGTAATGGGTCCTTGCTCAAACATGCCTACTCAGTTTAATGATCTTGTGTGTGTGTGTATACACATTTTATTTTTTGCACTGGATTTAAGGTTGTGGAAATATTCTGGAACAAAATTGTCTTATTTAGAGAATTCTCTTCTGAAGGAATGCACTTTATTGCTCTTTCTCTTTTTTAAAAAAATATTCACCCAAGGATATGTTGAGAGAGAGAGAGAACGAGAACGAGAGAGAGAGAGAGAGAGAGAGAGAGAGAGAGAGAGAGAGAGAAACATTAATTGGCTGCCTACCATATGCACTTGGAGAGAGAAAGAGAAACATTGATTGGCTGCCTACCATATGCACTTGGACCAGGGATCGAACCCATAACCTAGGTATGTGCCCTGACAGGGAATCAAACCTGCAGTCTTTTGGTGAACTGATTTAACTGACTTTAGAAAAGATAAGTCACAAAATTATGTTATAATTAAAAGAAAAAAAAATGTATGGGTTTAAAAAAAACATCTTTCACAACACATTCCTATAACGTATTGTGGCGGACCTGAATTCCACTGCTAATTGAACCTTTCCGAATTCATCAGTTGAAGTTTGTGTGTGGGAGGCTCTCCAAGAGGTAGCCATTGGCCACCCTAAATGAGTTTACTGTCTTCTGCGTGTAACACTGACATAGAGGAAACTAAAAACCCACGTACCCCTCAGGTGAGGTGCTCAGCTGTGGCCTCTGCAAACATTGGTTTTATATTTCACTAATGCATTGTTAGGCCAGTAGAGAAGCTTTGCTCCGGGCACAGAATATTTCTTACCTTAAGCCTTATACCTCAGAAGGTAAGTTGAGATCATTGTTCTGCAACGGACCTTGATGATTTGCACTTAACGTTTAGGAGGGCTGCGTGGAAGGTGGTGGTTATAAGCAAAGACTCGGGAATGAGCCTGATTTGAGTTTGAATTCAGGGGTCCACTACCATTAGCTGAGAAATTTTAGCAAAACTGTAAACCTCTGGTCTTCAGTTTCCTGATCTCTCAGTTGAGGAGGATAGGGACTGCACAAGGATTGTTGAAATGATCAAATAAGCGAATCTTAGGGGCCTGACACACTGCAAAAACTTGGCTCGGATGAAGTCAGTTTTCATCTTTAGACTAACAACCTTTTCCTTCATGCAAATTGTCCTGGCTCACAAAGAAAGATACCCATTCTTTCATTCTAGGATGCGATGTCAGTGATTACCTTGTATGCGTGATAATGTATATAACAATTAGTAAAATTGGCAAAAGTGCACAATTAGATGTTCATGTGGGCCTAAGCACTTGCTTTTTCTCTCCTGCCTTGGCGTTTGGTTCTGGCTTTCACCTGTCCTCGATTTCCTCGGGAGACTCCTCCTCTGCCATCCATTCTTCCTCTCTTCTGATTAGTAACTCCCTTTCTAGGACCACTTTCCAGCACTGTCCATAGAATGTCCTGTGATGATGGAAATGTTCTAGGACTCTGCTTTCCAATATGGCATTCACCAGCTAGCTGGAGGTGACTGTTAGCATTTGGAATGTGAACAGGGCCAGTAAGAAACTGGATTTTTAATTTTGTTGAATTTTAAATAAATTTAAATAAACACAGCAGGTGACTTCTTGCGCTTGCAAAGCTTTAACTACGTGGTCTCCCTAGTTATGTGCAGGAAGGAGACTCCCAAGCTGTGTCTCCAGCTCAGAATTCTTAGTTCCTGAAACACATTATCAACTTATTGGTCATCTCCACCTGCTTGTTCACAGAAACTTAAACCTCAGCATGTCCTAAGCTGAATGCATCATATCCCTCTTCAAAACCTAGTCTTTCTCCTGTTTTCGTCCACTTAGTGACTTGAGGACAAATCTATGAGTCCTCCCTCTTCTCTGTACAGTCAGCATAAACTCCACCTCCTCCTAAG